AACTAAGTTTGTAGAAAATACGTGCAACATTTATATCTCCAAATAAGTTTATTGTGAAAGTATATTCAATGATCTACCTAATGATACTAACTATGTTAAAAGTTAAAAGTTAAAAGTTGTTGGCTTTTTGAAGCAAGAATGACTCTTTTTTAGTGACAGAGGGAGTATAGATATATTCATTAGATATAATGGTGCTACAACTGCTCTATATATAGTCAACATCCATGGTAAAAATCCTCGCTGGCTAGTTTATCACACAAATAATGTAGCTAGCTAGTTTAGCTAGCTAGTTTGCACATCAGCGTTGACAGGAAAGATTCCGTTGCACAGTGATTTGCTAAGTGTATACCGAAGATAATTAAAATAGGCTGTACTTTCAGTCGTGTATTATTGAAGCAGTCATGTATATTGACCAGATCCCCTCAGTAAAAAAAAAATAATGTAACAGGGACAACGTTGGAACACTGCGGCGTCTGACTAGTTTGACTGTATATATATATATATATATATATATATATATATATATATATATATATATATATATATATATATATATATATATATATATATATATATATATATATGCATAGAACTCATATATTCTATATATACACTTTATATTCAAAAGTACGTCAGCTCTCTGATTCGATTTTGACGTCTCAAATAGTAATCGACATGAATTTATTGGTTTTGTAATGGTCAAAGCTTTATTTACATCTGAGTAAACAATATGCGTAAAATTAATCCAAGACCAAGACAAGAGAGACACATACGTAATCCATCCTTTTGATCTCTCCTTCCTATGAGGAGTTACGATCGTTTTCTTGTCAGGACGGCGAAAACATCTAGCGGTCTATATATATATATATATATATATATATATATATATTCAACGCCATGCAAGACCAAAGAAAGTAAGGATGTCACTTTCGTGGTTAAGTTGTTGTGATTCGTATTGGACACTTGTGCACCTGGTGGAAAACCCTTTCTTGTACGGCTCTATTAACGGCGTGTTCAGCATATTCTCCCCAAAACGAATAAACGAACTTTGCTAGCATGCAGTCATCCATCTGTACTTGATCATCAAGTTAAAAGAGAACGGACTCATAAATTAAACGCTACTTCTCCGTCCTAAAATATAGTGTACTATGACATCTAAAATTTGCACTCAAATATAATGTGTTCTGTGTAATGATTATGTCTAGATTTGGCAAAGTTTATTAAAAAAGAAATCATGATTTGAGGGGAAACTCTTTAGTTGAAATCATCTATTGGTACATACGTCATTTGAGTGCTCGCTTAAGTTGTCTTAAATTTTTTATAATGCACTATATTACAGGACGGAGGAAGTGACACCGTTTCATTTAATTAGGGAGTTAAAGCTAAGCTAAAATCTTGATTGATAGAGCTGTGTGAACATTCGTCCGTTTCTTTTGTGCATTAATTTCATAAAGCTTTTTTCCTCAGAAAAAAGTTTAATTAAAGTACTACCTCCATCCCAAGAGTCAACTAATCTTAAATTTGACCAAATATGTACAAAACTATACTAATGTTTATGATACCAAGTAAGCATGCATCATTAGATTAATCACACCACTATTTTTGTAGTAAATCTATTTTGAGATACAAATGTCGATACTATTTTCTATAAATAAATCTAGTAAAACTTGATATTGGTTGACTCTAAAATTACGATATGTGCACTTATTTTAGAACGGATGGAGTAAGAAATATCTAATAAAAGATAGATAATTCTTCACGCCGCCTATTTATCTAGGACGAATCCATCCCTCCCTGGATGGGGTATTACAGGAAGTAGTGTACTTCTTGGGCCAGCTCTGCGTCCCAAGGACACAAATCCATCGACGTCCAACTCAGTGTCTCGTCCATGCGCATGCTTCAATCTTCTTCAAGTCAACCTCTGTATGTGGCAGCCTCGAATTCCTGGTTCATATTTTTTTTCGTTAATTCCGCTGGATTCTTCCACAGAAAAAAAAAAACAGTTGCCTCGGTCATGTTCACACACTACTATATGAACTTGCGCATGCAGTGATGTTGGTAATGGACAGACCCCCCCTGGTCTGCATTTTTGTTTCTCAATTCAGGAGCGGAGTAAGGACTAGTGCGTGCTTTTTATTGTTTGGCATATAGGTCTTGTTTGGCACAGCTTGTCTTCTGGCTTCATGAGCTGTTTGAAGCTATAAATTAAACATACCCATAGATGCACGGAGAGATGAATCCTTTGTTCCACCGATTTTTTGTTGAAACTACCAGCTTCTGATGGCTTTTGCATCAAGTCAAAAGAGAACGGACTCAAACGGTAAGTGGCACCGCTTCCTTTAATTAAGGACTCAAAGCTAAGCTAAAATCTTGATTCATGGAGCTGTGTGAACATCCGTTCCTTTTTGTGCATTTCATAAAACTTATTTCCTTGAAAAGAACTTCAATTAAAGTATTCTGTCCGTTTTAAAATAAGTGCATATCTCACACTCCGAGAAGTCAACTAATCTTAAATTTGACCAAATATATACAAAACAAGTAATGTTTATGATACCAAATAAGCATCATTAGATTAATGGTAACATATATTTTTATACTAAGCCGATTTTGAGATACAAGCAGTGTCGATACTATTTTCTATAAATCTAATCAAACTTGTTGAATGACTTTTTATAATACGAGACGCGTAATTATTCCCAGATGGAATGAGTATGAAGAACTATGTTTCAAATAAAAGATAGGAAATTCTTCAGGCCGCCCACTGGGTATATATATTACATGAAGTAGTATAGGCAAGTTCTTGGGCCAACTCATTTCTGCGTCAAATCTTCTTTAACGTCAACCTACTGTATGTGGCAGCCTCGAATTCTTCAACAGAAAAAACCAGATCTCGATCTCAGTTGATGAATTGGACCATTGTCTGCACCGCCGTGGTCAAAGTGAAATGCATGTCTAGATTCTATCCTAAAAAGAATGTGATAATGCTTTCCTCCGTCTGTTCCAAATTATAAATCATTTTAACTTTCTTGAGAGTTAAAGTATCTAAAGTTTGACCAAATTTATATAATAAAATGATAACGTTATGATACCAAATAAGTATCACTAGATTCTTTATTAATTATATTTTATTGGTATACCTATTTGATGTCATAAATCTTTGTAATTCTCTCTACGATTTTAATCAAAGTTGAGATTTTTGATTCTCCAAAAAAATTAAAATAACTTATAATTTGAAACGGACGGGTACGTGCCAGTTAAACCGCACGCCCCTCCTCCTCTGGTCTGCTGCTGAACAATTCAGGTGGGGAGGAAGGAGCAGTGCATGATGCATGTATTATATATATACTACACGGAACGAAAAAGAATGGATGATCTAGTATGTAATTATTTTTTTGAATTTCCAATTAATTTGCGGACTAGTCTTTCCCACGTCCAGCATGTCACGTCAGTCCATGTGAAAGTGACCTTATTTTGTACTAAGTTGGTGGAGCTAGGTTGCCTTAGCTAATCCGTTGTTTTGTTTTTGAGAACTGAAAAAAAGGGCCATGCATGGTTCAAGGTTGTAAAAAGTGGATTTCACTATTCTTTTCGTGCCACGTGATATGCATATATGTATGCCCATCGCATATTAGATTTCAGTTGACCTTTAAATTTGCCTAAATATGTCACATCACATGTATTGCTGTCGTCCAAAACATTTGGTTTTTTTATGTCTCCGGTCACATATTATATTATATTCTGATGTTTGAACTGAGAAGTAGCCTCGCGCGCACATACTTTTTTTTGTTGTTGTTGTATATATGTATAATATCTGGTCAACCTGTGAAATAAACGGCGCCTTTTAATTTGGTCATCTAGCATAGAGGTCGGACTTGGGCCGTGCCAGCACGGCGCTCTCGTGCTTTGTGCATATCCACTAGACATGTGAGGCACATCGGGCATTAAGAGGAAAGAAGTTTCAAGATTACAACAACAATATCACGCATTTTCTTTTTCAAATCACATGGTACAGACGTACGCCCATGTATATGCAATGCAAGCACACTCACTATGACAGGCGTGTAGCCCTACCACCCGTATCAAGTCGAGAACTTAAATCTAAATGGATAAGTTCCACCAAAAGGAGCCTTTACCAGCTAAGTTCGCAAGTTCGGAACCAGCTGCCAAGTGACACTTCCATCATATTACTACAAAAATGAGTTTTAGAGGCTTGCTTCTTTTAGAGAGGCAATTATAATTTTGGTCGCCCATAGAAACGTCATTTGATGGACTTAGCTAACGAATCACCCCTAAAAATATATTTCTATAAGAGGTTAGTAATATTGATCGCACCTGAAATTACCTGCATGTCATATAGTTGGAGGATTACTTTGAACATTAGGTTCTAGTATAATCTATTATAACAAATTACTACTACCCAACATCTTAATAAAAGAGGGCATGTAAAAATATGAATCTATTGATAAATCTTTTGAGCACTAAACATGCATATATGCCTCACATTTTCATCTTAGGCCCTGTTTGGATCCTTGGAATTCAATTTATTTTAATAATCATAGTTTAAACACATATTAATTAAGCTAATATGGTTGTATATGGATTATATTTGTATATTAGTGTTGGATACACGAGAGAGATACTTATGCGTTGCATTTCTACCGTAGAGGAGCGAATTGAAGAGTGTGTTATAAGTTGCGAAGTAGAAACATAGAATGGTGATCTATAGAATCAATTTCCATCTCGCACACTATGAATCTGAGATAGGATTACATGTGAACTTTGAAAAGTGGTAGAATGTCAAATTTGCAGCCAAATAGCTTAATTTATTAAGTAGATTTTAATTCCTCCAAATGAAATGATCCAAACGGCACCACAGAGGAAAAAAAATATAGATTCCTCCTTTAGACGAAATATGTTTAATTGGCTTTATTATTCCTCCTTTGGGCAAACAACAAAGAATCAAATAATATCTCAATCCAAGTATAACGACTTCAGTACTACTACTCCACAACGATCTGTTCCTGCATGATCTCAGTGGTGGTCTTGTTGATGAGCTCCCACGCGCTCCGGACGTGCCTCTCCTCCTGCAGCGACGAACCCACGGCGAACCGCAGCACAAACCTGTCGCCGACCACCGTGTGTGCCAAGTACGCCTTCCCGGTCCTGTTGAGGCGCTCCATGAGCTCACGGTTGGCCTCGTCGGCGTCCTCCTCCGTCATGCCGCCGCCACCATGGGGCTTGATCCTAAAGCACACGAGCGCGAAGTTCCTGGGAACCACGACTTCGAACCCGTCGCCGCCACCATGGTGGTCAAGATCATCATTGTTAGTATGTGATTCTGTAATTAGTGGAATGGCTTTGGACACCACAACCGCCTTGTCTTCTCGCGCCTAGGCGGCTTCCTGTAGGGCCACGACAAGTGCGGCGCGCGCGGCCACCAAGTCACCACGCAGCATGTCGGTGTGCAGCCTAGATGCACACAACGCTGCTCGGACCTCGTGGTAATGCTTCAATAACTTACGATATTTTTCGTCGCCTGAAGATTCGCCCACTTCAGAACCTGAGGGTTGTGCGGGGACAGACGGGCTCGACGGCGGCGAACGGCGATGGGATGACTCTCCGGCACCATCGGTGGGAAGCCCCACAATGGGGGGCAGCGTCACCATGGAGGAATCGCTGTAGACTGCAAGACAAGTTCAAGCCTAGATGATATGGGGGAGAGCGATCAGATTTAGAAGGCAAACGATTAACCAATCTAACCGGCGCCGCATGGCACGGAATCGCCGGTGGCTGCCCCCATCGGCAATCCAGCCCTAGTTCATCACCAGTGCGAGGTGCCGGGCAATCTTCTTGTCGACGGCGTACGTCCTGTGTGGGCGGCGATTGGCCCAAGCGAGGACATGCTCCGTGGTGACGGACTATGTCCAACCACGGGGTGCACTCTCTGGGCAAAGGGGGCAGACCAGCAAGCCATAGCGGCTGGCGCGTATCATGAGCTTCTGGCTCTCGGGGACGGGAGTTGCATACCCATGCCGACAATTGTCCTCTGAGTCCATCGTAATGCAGGCTGGAGAGCACTCGGACATGTCCTCGATGGACGCCGAGTGGGAGCGCGAGGATACATGAGACTCGCTCATGACGTGGGCCAAAAAGAATAGAGGAGTCCATGCAGCCTACAATGGGGCGAAGTGGAGCGCACCGGGAGTGGTGGTGGCGAGGGAACCACCGATGCCACTGGCGCCAGCGTCGTCGTTGAGGGCGACGGGGAGAGCAATGGTAGTCTAGGAGACGGCGGGCGGGAGCATGATGGGAACATCGGTCTCCCGTGACTAGATGTCGATGCCACCTCTGCCGACACTAAAGCAGGGCACACCATCGGCCCCACCTCCTCTGAAGAGGGGAGAGCCAGTACATTGGAGGAAGCGGGGACTGGAGCCGAGCGACCCTTCCTCGAGTAGTGCTTCATGGGCATGGCCTTAGTTGCAAGCGACGAGAAGGCGGAGTTCGGGACTTTGCGAGGCGAGGCGAGGGTTTTTTGTGCAATACAAGGTGGAATCAAAACAATGGGAGCGAGGCTAGGCTTTATGTATACACAGGGCGGACCTTCTCTATGCTGTGAAGTATACATGCTTTATGTTTACACAGGGCGGCATTTCATGGATCAAGATTCTTGATTTAGCTCATTGTCAGGTTCGGTATAAAATGTTGTTCTATTTGTATGATTTGGCAAGATCTTTTGTGATGTTTTTTTATTATACTCATGTGATTGCATTCGCGCGAATTAGATAAGATTATGTTCAAATTGGTGTGATCTTTTATGTCATAGATGTTGTTACTATTTCCTATAAAGTTAGTCAAACTTAAAATTATAAACAACAAAGTAACAAGCATTACAGGACAAAGAGGAAAAACTATGGAGGATACTGTCCGACGCGTTCAAATGTACCGAGGCCCAACTTTCTTATGAGTGTAGGGGTGCATGCTCGTACGGAAAAAAATACAATCAGCACCAGTAGACTTTGAACAACAAGATACATATATAGTTGATATTGTTGCCAAATTAAAATAAAGCCACCAACCATAGATATACATGCATAGATGTTTAACATAACTTAACATGCACTAATTCAGAATTAATCTACCACATTGATGTGAATAACTTATCGCAATCCCATGAGATCCTACACTCCTCGCTGTAGAACCTAGACCACAATACCCATACTTCAAATCCGATGGGCTCGCCATAGCCTCCACCTGTGCACTGATGATGCCCATCCTGGTGACGAACGGGGCGAAGACTGGGCACTACATCATATGGCACCATGTCCTGCAACTGCCAGTACACGTCTCGGTAGAACTACGGAAAGGTCTGGTTCTTCCACGGCAGTGCAGCCGGCCCCGCTTCGTCAGCACCTTCGAGCTCCCTCAACAGGCGTCGGGCAATGTCATAATTGCCACAGTCGGTATTGGACCTGTAGAGCACGAGGGCATAGATGTACATACCAAGTTTATATCTTGCCTCGACAGAGTGCTAAAGCCATTCCATTGGTGGTGTCAACGACCTACGGGCTTCCATGAAGACAGGACACAAACCGGTGAGGAAGCAGGTCTCCAAGTTGCCCATGCTAGCCAGCCTGGTGGTGAGCAGGGCACGATAGTCATTGTCATAGTAGTGGTGCTCCCAGAAACCTTGACGTTGCAGCACCCAGCGCAGTGGTATGCGCCGGACGACTTCGGCGGTGCCGCACACCCTGCGCATGAACGAGCAGGTTGCCCACAGGCTGGCAAGGTCGTCCATGGGGGCATATGACTATTTAGTGATGCGGCCAGCGATGTCCATGGCCAACTCCATCGGGAGCCGATCCATCACAACATATCCGAGGAAGAAGCAGAGTCAGAGCGTGCGCGCGACGAACGACGGCGGATGTAGTGTCAGAGCAGAGTACGAATGCGCGACTACGACGAGGCGGAGAGCGCTGGGGAAATAGGGCCAGCGGTTTATGTAGGCAGAGACTCCGCGTTCTTGAAGGATTGCATATACCATGTAAACGTGTCTCAGGGAAGTGAATCGTCCGATGCGATGGTTCTTTCTCGAGGAACCAAACGGCGCCTCGCTCAAGTTCCAGGTGTCCGTGTAAACGTGTCTCGGGAAAGTGAATCGTAACAAATCTTGTTCCCTTGTTCTCTCCTGTTTAGGTGCTCCATACTCAATTTTGGGTGCTTCAAGTTTGCGAGGTGCTCGTTCAAGGGCTCCAACTTCCCTTGTTCTTGGAAAATTAACAGAGGAGTAAACAAAGTTCTATTCGATGTATGTCACGTTGCATGCTGCACTAAAGTTCAGCCCGTGTTGTTTCTCAGCGGCCGAACAATCCTACGCGCCGACCCAAATTTAAAAATACTGCCCAAACTTAAAATTGTAAATGACACAGTAACAAGCATCATAAGAAAACGAGAAAAAACAAGACTTGCTCATATGAAATCTTCACTGCATGGTTCTTGCAAGTTCAATAAATTTTATCTAATACATGCAAGTAAGAGGAGAGCAGTGAAATCCCACTACTCAATGTCATCCAACTACTACCAATACATACTAGTTCTAACTACATATGATTAACATGACTTCATACATGAGAAAAGGAGCTTTTGACCACCATGACATGCTTGAGACTTGAATCCCTGGTGCAGTTCTCTTTCTGATATGTAGAATGGTAAACATGCATAATAGAATTCATCCGATCAAGTCTCGCGTCGATTTAATGCCTAACAGAGGAGCCACATAGCTATTCAAATTATACAGCACATTCAAGAAAGTCCGAGCATTGTAAATTTGACCGTGCCAGACACATCTCACGTTCTACTAGAATATTCCCAACACGTCCAGTATTGAAAACTGTTCGACCAACCCCTAGAATTTGGGATGGCATTTACTGGAAGCCGTCTAAGGTCCTCTGCATTCAAAGCGATTCACTTCAAATTCCATCTCGTAATTGTCCCCTTGTTCATCCCGCAGCTATTTAACACCGGGTTCCCTTTAAATCGTCCTTGCTCCAACTCCAAACCAATTCAAATCATAGCTACAAACTAAGCCACTAGACCCATAGAGTAGCCATCGCCATGAGCTTCGATGAAGATCCTGCTGCCCAGTTTTCCACTTTCAAACACCGCATTAAGTGGAGAACGACATCAAAGAACATCTTCACCATCAAGGATTCGTCTGGCGGGAGCGTCCTTGAAGCATCGTTCTCTGTGACCCTAGAATGCACAGTGACCAAGACCCTCAAAGCCGGTGGTCACTGGCAGCCAGTGTACCTCCTATACAAAGGAGGCAGAACCACCAAGATCTTGAAGGCGAATCAAGCTATGGGCATCCCCGGTGACCAGGAAGGTGTTCGTGATGTCCTCCGTGGCTTGATGAGGACATTCATGCGGCTGCCACAACTCAATCTCACCAATGAGCAGTGGGAGGACATCCTTCCTGAGCCCGAGGTTCCTGAACTCGTGACCCTGGCACGTAAGGCCTACTAGGATGGCTGCATCGCCCACACCACGCTTGAGCTTTGGGTCGATGAATAGTTGAAGTTCATCGCGTCCGAGGTGCTCTTGACACTCTGCGTGGAGGCAGAGGCAGCGCCAGTGGGGTGTCAGGACTACAGCATCTGCCAGGAGGATGAAACATCTAATCCTACAGCTGGTCATGCTATGGAAATGCCCGGCTATGGCCACGCTTCCACCACAAGTGCATCACCAAGTGGTTCGGCCCTGCCCGATGTGCCGACGAGATTTGTCTATGTATCTTGACCCGGCAGTGCAGAGATTCCTCTCGCACTTCACCGAAGAGGATTATTGATTAAGCTCATTATTTTATGTTGTATAAAATACTTATTACGCATCATACTCTATATATATTTGGTAAAAATTTAGAATGTTTGAGTAAATCTCCGCTCCGTCGCTTTCTCCGCTCCACCGCTCTAACCACCGCGATCTCGTCCACAACTCCGCTTGTTTTATTTTCTACCTTCTCGGAGCTCTCCTATTCCCTCTGCAGATCTAAACCATGAGGAACATGTGGTTTCCTTCTCATACATGTGCTTAACACATAAAATACATGACTTCATGTCATCAGGCCAGACACCCAAGGCAACAAAAAAACAAACAGCAACCAACTGAGGAAACTTCATCCACTACAGCATCTTCACTGTCCGAGGCGTTCAAAAAATAG